TTGTATGATCTTTCCATAACGATGTTAGTTCGTATTGATAATCGAAAAGAAGGAGATGAAAGAGATTTGTTTAATAAAAGATACATTTCTCTTGTTGAAAACCCAAGTGATCTTCATGCCCTTAAGTTTGTTGAAGATGTTCTTGATGTTCTTGAAGTTCATGATAAGAAGATTCAAGTTGATTCTCATGAAGATGAAAAAGTTTTTTGCTCAATTGGAGTTCAAACCGATGATATTGTGTGTTCTTGTGATTCGTTTTAAGGAATGATTCCTTATCGGAAGCCGGTGATCCAAGAAATTCACAAGTATCAAACTCCAAAAGATTTGATTCAAACTTGCAAAGTTGAAGTTGTCAAGAATGAAGGTGTTCTTGAAATCAAATCTTCAAGATGCAAAAATATGAGAAAGAAAAAGAAGAAGAAGATTAAATGGAAGAACAAGCGGGTTTATTCACAAAAATCGTCAAATGTTGTTGTGAATCCGAAATCCGTGAAGCAAATTTGGGTTCCAAAGCAACAATCTCCAAAGGTTGCATTGAATTTGAAGTCAAAACCCAAAAGTGTTGGTGGTTCTTTTGAAGATGTTCTTTGATCGTTCAAGAACACGAAGAACAAGTTGTACATCACGCATAGTGGGTGGTACAATGTTCAAATTGGAGATTTCCTCGTTCCAACAAAAGAACCAAGATCTTCTAAATTTGATTCGTTCGTTACAAATGGAACTCGATTCGTCAAAAAGGTATCTCAAATTCTCAAATGGATTCCAAAACATCCATGATTTCGATTCGTGTTTTACGTTTTTCATTTTTGATCGACTTGCCTCATTGGATCAAATCCGTTTCAACCCCATTGATTGATCCAATTATTTTTGTTTAGATCAAATCATAAAAATCAAAATCAAATATTACTTTTTCACTGTTCATTCACATTTGTTTTCGAGGCCCACGATAAATCAATTAACCTTTTCATTTGATCCAACAGATTGAGCCCAAACAGTTTGATATTGTTCATATATTGAGTCTATTCGATTTCCATTTCTTTTTGTTTAGCCAAATATCTAAACGAATCGGTCCATTCGTTCTTAAAGTCAAAATAGAACTAATCGAATTGATTCAATTTAAAGTTTCTTATTCATACTGATGAACAAACGAAGAACAGTTGACTGAAAAGTCAAAATTGAATGTCGAAGAAGGAGTAATTGGAAAGCGAAGGACGAATAGTTGATGTCGTTTTTGAGTTAGGTTCGATTGATAATAGTTGATTTTGGGAAGGATAGTTTGGAATCGGTGTTGGTGTGAAGAGTCAACGCAGAAAAGTCGAGTCCAAAGTCAAAATCGATTAGAGTCGATTGCAGTTGAAGTCGATTTTGATTATTACCTGTAATTGTTTGGAAACATTGGAATCAAGTGTTCGATGTCAAAATCGAGTTGAATAGGTAGATAGATTTGATAATCAATGCTTGGGGTCGAACGCTTTGAGGATGAGAGTCTCGTGTTAGACGTTAAAATCGAAAGCTTTAATAATAGAATATGTGTGGGTATTGGAATGCGATGTTTGTGGGTTTGGACTAAAAGCGATGTGTCATGTTGAATCAAACAAGTCTGTTTTAGAAATTGATTTGGGAAAAGGGCTGATGCTTTTGATTTCGATGTTTTGTGGAGTCGGTCGTCTTGATAACAAACTGAGAATGGTCGTTGGCTGGTAATTTGTAAAATCGAAATGTTGATGAACTGGAAACGAACAGGTTTTGGGTTAGTACCAACAAGCGAAGGTTGTGTTAAAATCATTCGATGGTTTGGGGATGAATAAACATCGACTTGGCTAATAAACTGGGAAGGTTTTGAGAAGTAGATTGAGAAGTGAAATCGATTTTGGGGTTCGATTTTGATGGTGTTTGTGTATTTGTTCGTGTCTACAGGGAAGGTAGATTTAGAGTCAATAGTGGGTTTAATAGTAATCATGATAGTCAAAATTTGTTAGCTTGAAGTCGAAATTAATAATGGATGGAAACAAATTTTGACTTGGAGATGTAATCGAATCGTGGTGGTCATAGGAATCAGATGTTTGATGTTTGTTGCTTGAAGACGAATTTAATGTCAATTGATATTGGGAATGAGATGGTCTAGCAACGAAGATTTCAAAGTGATGAATATCAAGGGTCAAAGATTTTGAAGTCGACTGTGACGAATCGTTTTGACTTTTGAGTACTTGATTGTTGATTTGGTGTAGTAACAAAAAGCGAAGGTTGATATAAGTGTTTTGATTTTGAACACTAAAAGCGAATATCTGTTATTTGGAGCTTTATTAACGAATCATAAGATGGTCAGATAGCGAAGATTTTTGGAGTCTATTGATGTCGATGATTTTGGAAAAGCCTTGTTAGCTAAATGTCGATTCAGTGAGTGAATGATTCAGACGAGATTCAGCGGCTTCGCATGCCTTCGTTTTCGATATTCCATTGATCAAGAAAATTTTTCGTTAATATGGTGTTGATGATTCGCGACTGGAACAACGAAGGTTTCTTGAATTGGGGAAGAAACATAAATTTTCGAAAGTGATCCTCAAACTTTCGAAAGTTTGACAGCTTTTACCCACCTTCGAAATTTGGGGTAATTTTCGACAGTTTGGAAGAAATAAGACAGAATTTTCGAATTGGTCCCTGCAACTTTCGAAAGTTTGACAGTTTATAACCATATTCGAAAGATGGACTGATTTTCGAAGGTTTGAAGAAGTGTGCAGAAGTTTCGAAAGTAGCACCTGAAGTTTCGAAAGTTTGGCAGTTTATACCAAATTTCGAAAATGGTGTTCCAAAGCTAAGAAATTGAAGAATTTTCATTTCTGGTCCCTACAGTTGGTGCGAACTTACACTTTATGCCCAGTTTCGCAAATGGGGGAGTGTTTCACATCTTAGACTGTTTTTAGCGCAATGGGTCCCTGCAGAATTCAGAAAGTGACATTTTTTACCCGAATTTTGGAAAATCTTGCAACTTTCACCCAAAAAGTCAAAAATTTTCACAAATTGGAATTTTTTTTTAGGCTTTTTCGTGATTGTTTTTCCGTGCAAGATTTTTGGTGATTCATTTTTGGTGCACATCAAGGGGGAGTATTATATCGTTCATTCCTTGGGCGCTTCTCACCCTTAATGGGTTTTATAATCAGTTTTTGATTATAAAAAGGGGGAGAATGATGGGTATTCGAAGCGAGTTTTTCAGGTATTCATTTGCGGATTTGAAGACCGGTGTTACTTCGAGGGGGAGTTTGGTCTTGATCGCGCAAGCTCGTTGGATATTGAAGCCGAACATCCAATCCTAACTTTGAGGGGGAGAATGTTAGGGTGCAAAGTCACGCTTGAATGTATTTGTGCTTTACCCTTATTGATGTGTAAATGAGTTTTCTTTCCTATAAATAGGAAGTGAGTGACACTCATATTAAGGATGATCATTTTGGAGTGTTAGACTAGAGAGAGAAATTTGTACAAACCCATTTGTATACCCTTTCTAGATCTAATATGAGCTTACACAAATTTATTTACTCCTTGTGTTCTTGAGTTTACATGATGATTCACTAGATCTTTTTCTAATTCCGCACATGCCATCATAATCAACACCACTACAATTTTGAATCAAGGTTTTTACATATTTTGTTAACCAAAAAAATGAGAATTGTTAAATGTTTGATATGAAGTATTATCTAAATTGGGTATATGTCCATTTACCCAAATTCAGATAAAAAAATATCAGTTTCTTGGAGATGTTCGATTAAATTTATGGTGTATTGGTTATGAAAATTGCATGTCCAAAGTTTCATTTGCAGCAGATTATCCTGATTTAATCCCTAAATCATCAAAATCATCATCAACTTATGTCGAAAAAAGAATTAGATTTATACTCTCATGACTGGTCAAAATATTCTCGTTGAGATCTGAAATCGTCGATTACAGTCGGTGGTGTTGATATTGTTGTATGGTATACATATTGTTGTGCATGGATTAGATGGCATTCTCGAGTTCATACCCCATACGAGAAGTTCACTTCATAATGTATTAATTAGTTGGTCAAAGTTTCTAATGTTGTATAGATGTCTGTATTTACCTCAACCTTATATGGAGAAAAAATTAGTCTCTTGAGTCGATTATGATGGAGTTTAATCTTAAGCTATTTGAGGAAGAGTGATGGTTGGTTTCTATGACTGGGATCGACAAAAAAGTTTTGTGGAAAAAGAAGAGGTTGGATGAGATGTGAGGTGGATTTTAGTTTTATTTCTTGTTTTAGTGAGAAAAGCCCTGTGATCATGAAAACCGATAGTTGGTTGAGTTACAATAACATTTACCCTTCATTAATATACCAAGTTGTACTGTATACGATTTCACTACAAGAGTTTCAACCTATATGTATGTTCTTGGTATTTTTTTTATTGTTTCTTTAGTTTTTTATTATTTATGACACAATTTTTTTTTTTTGTACAATAATAGGTTATAAAAGGGAGCATTCATCATAGGATGGCTACTAGAGAAAGAAAGGGGTTCGCGAGCTAGACTTAGATTAAAAAAATGGTAAACAGTATTATCCAAGCAGTCTATATGAGATCAATCGATGAGTATTAACAATATTTTACGTGTATTAAGGTTCACTTCTTATATGAAATTTTACATCTCAACGATTAGATAGGGTTCTACACCGCTAGTTCCATTACAGGACACTTATCCAATAGTTCCTCATGGTCATTCCACTTTAGTTTTTCGACCAAATTTTCTTCTTCAGACTATCTTTTTTTCTCGATTTCATGAAACTAAATTTCAAATCAACCTTTCTCTTGGGGCAAACATTGTAACTAGATAGATAACCTTCAAAATACCAGTTAAAGTCTTCATTTTGTTTTCATAGAACAAGCACAAAACCAAGCATTGCAATTACACACTTAATTCAATACAGCACTTCTTATTCCCTTCAAACACCACCACTATCCATCGCCCTTCTCCTTTTCCTCGACGGTTTGCCATTGTCAATTAAAGGGTAACCTGTACACAATACAAATATAAATAGAAGACCCATGCATGTACATGTTCTATCATGGTTGAAATTAACCTATTTTTTATCCGGCTTTGGTATTTAACAATTCAATTTTCTGAACCCCGTCTAAGATGGTATGAAGCGATTTGGGCTTTGCTTACACCCATAAAATGAAGCATGAAAAATAGAAAAGTGGTAAATAGACATGTACATAACTGGCTTTGGTTGGATTCTTGATCATCCCAAGCAATTGACACGTACGCTTAAGGAAATTAAAATGGTTTACTTTTTCAGGAAAGTGTAATGAGCTTACGCTAGTTTAAGCGATGTATCAGACCAATCATCCTGATCAGGAGGAGGTCCACTGTTGCAACTGTATACGTTGGTAGCAACAGATTCCGATGACTGCACTTGATCTTCAGGGTTAGTTACAATATTGTCCAACTCGGCAGCCGTTGTCCGTGGCCTCTTGCCTACCGAAGTCAAACTCATCATCTAGACATACATAAACAAAGAAAATGTTTTCCATTAATGACGATTAATAAACACAACACACATATATATATAAAATTTAAAAAACAAAAGAATCTTGCTTTTTGTTTCAAGAGCTTGTTCTCTTCCATCAACTGAAAACCCTGCAGCATAGTTCAAATAGAAATTCTTTTAATATCTTATTACCTTAAAAATGCATAAAAATCAAATTCTAGAAATTACAGAGTCAAATCTTTTGACATAAGAGAGACAAACTTAGTATAATTTTAAATGATTTTGAGAAAAAGTTGTATAACCCGACGTAGTAATGATGCTCTTCCTAAAACAAACGAGTTCCTGTTCGACTTTCAAAATCAAAGACCCTTCAAGATTTGAAATGCAAATTTTATATGAAAACTATCAGTATTTCTAGAAACAATACTTTTACATACATACGACCACAACTTATTTTAACTGTAGTACTTACTTTTTTTTTCTTCAAAACATGTGTAATATATGATTTTGAAATTAAAATGGGGCTCTTAAAAATCAACAATGGACTCTAGTTTGAGTATATAACACTATAACCTTTTGTTGAAGACTTGCTATCTCGTTTGCAATCCGTTCATCCTGAAACAGGACAAGAAACACTTTAAAGCCCGGTGAATACTGCATATATACTCACTCATATAAGATAGTATAATAACCTTTGTCCGGAGCACACGGTTGAGGCCTCCTTCAAGCAAGCTCTCCAAACGTTTAAGTTCCTCTAGAGTTAACCCATTAAGGTCCTCGCCACGTAGGTGGCTGTATTTAGTGACGAAATCATACATAATTAGTGATGAAGTTAATTCACTTTATTGCAATTTATGGAAAAAAGAAAGAAGATATAATACCTCAATTCTCGATTCTTGTCAAGTACCTCTTTGCTCATCCTTGATTCTTCGCTTTCCAGGAGCTACAGCCGTATATATAGTGTTTTACTTTGACAGTTGAATATTCATATTTATATGCTATGAGCGAATTAGTAGCAAATGTGCATACAACCATACTAATTTTGTTTTACTTGTAATAATACTATGCAGAACATATCCAATGAAATAATTAATGTAATATGAATAAGTTGGTCGAAGATCAAGGGACAGAACCTGTAGATTGAGAGAAGGTGCGTCAACTTTATTGACGTTATTAGTCCAGTGGAGTTTATATTTCCCGAGTAACTCTTGCATACTTCACAACACAAAGAAAAAACATTTTACAATTTATATTTGTAGATAAAAGATTATATTTATAATGTTGTTTATGAGTAAAATAAAGATATTACAGTCGGTCTCATATGTTTGATTGCATAGAAAATGTACACGGTCATATGCACCTTTGTTTGATTGAGTGAAACAAAGAGATGATGAATTGCTCAAAAGTTATAATACAACAAAATGAACTACATCTATATGTAACTAATCTCTCAACAAACTTCTTAACTAACTAATTAATAGAACACATGGCATCTAAAACTTGTAGTTCATGTAGTAATCTGCTTAACCATGCAAGTTCATAACAAATTCGGCACATACATCTGTACTTAGCTACCGCAGAAGACAAGAAATCTGTAACTTGTTTCTTTGACTTCCATGACAATGGTGTTCCTCCAAATAGAATGAAGAAACCACTCACAGATCGATTGGACAAGATGTCCAATCACTGTCACAATATGCCTCAAGATCAAAACTTTGTTAATTATTACTCATAAATAATCCTTGAGAAACTGTTCCTTTAAGATACTTTAAAACACAAATGACAGCACTATAATGTTCTTGATTGAATTGACCGAGATACTGAACTGTAAAGGATAAATCTGGTCTTATATGTAGTAAGAAGTTTAATTTTCCAATTAGTTGTCTATAACTAGTAGGTGCAACTAATAGATTGCCCATTTTTTGCAATAATTTCAAGTTGGATGGTAATAGAGAGGATACAAGCTCACAACCAACCATTGAATAATGTTGTAGTAAATCCATAACAAATTTATGCTGATTAACAACCATGCCATTTGGTGTTTCATTAAACTCCAATCCCAAAAACAAATGTATGTATCCCATATCCTTTATCTTGAAGTGTTCATCCAAAAAAGCTTCTAAATTTGATATTTCTTCAGTATTGTCCCCATTGTCCCCGGTTACTAATATGTCATCAACATATATAGCAACAATCATAATGCTTCCATTTGCTTTCTTCATAAATAGTGAATGATCATTCAAAGAATGGTTGAATCCTCTTGGTTGTAGGGAAATGGGCAATTTTGCATACCACTGACGCGATGCTTGTTTCAATCCATATAAGGTTTTTTTCAATCAACAAACATAAGAAGAAGGAACATGAAGACCAGGTGGAGCTTTCATGTACACTTCTTCATGCAAGTCACCATGCAAAAACACATTATTCATGTCAAACTAATGAAATTTCCATCCCCTTTCACACCCAAAGAAATAATAGCTCGAACAGTAGTGAATTTTACAACAGGAGAAAACGTCTCGTGCTAATCAGTTCCATGTTTTTGTGTAAATGCCTTTACCACTGAATGAGCTTTATGACGTTCAATGGTACCATCTGATTTGTATTTGATCTTATAGACTCATCTACAAGATATAGGCTTCTTTCCTTTAGGAACTTTGACAACATCCCATGTGTGATTGGCTTCTAATGATTTGAATTCATTATGCATAGCATTTTCCCATTTTGGATCACCTTGTGCTTCATTGTAGAAGGCATGTTCCGTTTGAACAAAAGAAGCATGAAAAGCAAATTTGGAACAATCATGGTGAGTAATTGGAGAGGTAATGCACAAATATATAATCAGTAAGACGTCTAAGAGGATTGGAGTTCCTTGTTGAACGTCTTAAGGGATTTAATGGATTGGGGACAACAAGGGTATTTTGATCATTATTTGAAGAAAGGGTATTTTGGTAAGATACAACAGCCCAATGATGAAATCTCATTTGTAAAGACTTCAGGAAAAAATTAAAGGAGATAAGAAGAATCAGAAGAAGCATGCTCTTAAATTGATGATAGATGTATTGAAAAAACATCTTCAAAAAATTTGACATCTCTAGATATGAAAATTTGTTTAGTGTCTAAATTCAACAGTTTGTATGCCTTTTGACCATAAGGGTATCCAATGAATATGCATTTTGTAGCTCTGGGAATGAACTTGTCACTTGAAGGTTAAATGGGAGTAGTATGACAAAGACAACCAAAAGCTTTTAAATAAGATAAATGTGGCTTTTCTTTATGCAAAACTTCATATCAAGTTTCAAAATGAAGTGGTTTAGTTGGCATTCCATTAATCAAATGAGTGGCAGTTTTGGTATATTCTCCCTGGAAGATATGTCCAACTCCATATTGAAAATAAGGAGTAGCCTCCAAAATATGCTTGTGTTTTATTTCAACAAGACCATTTTGTTAAGGTCTATAGGGTACCTATTTTTTTATTTTTTTATGAATAACGCTTGCTTATGTAAAGAAATCTACTCCCTTTTTGCTAGATCAAAGATCATATGCATTGTCACTTCTTATCACTTTGACCACTACACCAAATTGAGTTTTGATAAGGTTAACAAAACCTTTAATAATGTACATAACATATGATTTGTGAGAAAGAAGATGTTTCAATGTGAATCTGCTGAAATCATCCACTATTGTGATAAAATACTTATGACCATCAATAGTAGAATGTTTATAAGGACCCTAAACTTCAATATTTATAAGATCAAATGCTTGAGATGAGTTACTTTGACTTTTTGGAAAAGATAGTTTATGTTGTTTTGCTTGAGAACAAATCAAGCAAGTATCAACATAATGATTATGAGCATTTAAAAACAAAAGAGACAATTTCTTGAGTTTATCCAAAGGTAAATGCCCAAATCGTCTATGCCAAATCATTGCTTCAGTGATACAATCAAATGAATTATTACAATAATGTAATGTAGACACTACAAAAGACTTGTTACAAGAATTCAAAGCAGAAAAATCATACTTAAAAGAAAGACTATTGGCAATATCTTGATGACCAAACACATATAAATCATTTATGTATTGTCCAAGAATGCCAAGAGATTTATTCTTTTACAAAAAGGTCCTACATGAGACACTCTTTATCATTAAGAAGTAAGAATGATGAAGGTATTCAATTGTGCAACAAGTTTAGGAACAGATAGAAGGTTATACTTGAAGCATGGAACATACAAAACATTAGGTAATGTAATGGAATTATGAAGTTTTACATCACCAGAGAATGAATGAGAGTGTTTTGTCCACTAGGCAAACCAATCGAGTGAGGATGATTGGATTTAGTAAGAGATGAAAAAGATATTTATCAGAACACATATGATCGGTAGCTCCTGAATCAATGATCCAGGAGCTGTGTGTTCGTAATAATGCAGAAGATCTATAAACATTTGCAAAAAAATGTTTAAAAGAGAGAGTTTTTCCTTTATAAATCATTGCTCCATCAGTGAGTATGGAATTAACTTGGCTAGTTGAAGGAGAAGCATTCAAGTTATTAGCATTGATGAGTTGAATGAGCTGTTAAAATTGATCTTGAGAAATCAATGATGACGATACCACATATTGAAAAGAAGATTGAGTATCATCATGCTTGGACTTAGTGAATTTGAAATTTGCAGGAAATTTGTGAAGACAATAGCATTAAGATTTAGTATGTCCTGATTTCTTTTAGTGATTGTAGGTTATAGCCTTATTGAGATAAGAAGAAGCTTTCATGGCAATAGATTCAGTACCAAGAACAAAGTGAGGAATTCAAATATCTCTTTGACGTTCCTCTCTCGAAAACAACTCATCTTACAACTAGTTTTCAGTCTCATTGAACCATGTAATGAAGTTTCCACTTTAATTCAATAATCTGAACCATTACAACATGTCCATAAAGCACATTCAAAGCTTGTGTTGGATGAAATCCGTAAATCAAAATGACCCACATCAACTACCAACTTCGCTTTCTTCACTGTCATTGCCCCTCCTTCGTCAACATCACTTCCTCCGCAAAACAACCTCATCATATCCTTGCTCTACAACAACAATAGCAACAATGATACTTGAGGTCATGGTGGCCGTCAACCGGAAGTGACATTCGTAGTCGTAGATGATGTCTCTACAACCCAAACACCGACAACTAACGACGCCCCTTTTGGGGCCCGTTTCCTATATGGGCTTGGCCCAACAACAAAGGTATAAGCCTTCATGCCCATTCCCAACACCCCCTTCTACTCGTCCTCCCACTTCTAATAATTGGAACCCGACCACAAAATACCAACGCCGTCTTTACAAAACCCTTCTTATGCATACACACTCCTATGGATATTGCTCAGGTAATGAAAGATATGTCATTATACCCTTTTTGTGAGAATATAAAAGCTATGTCGTTATACCCTTTTCGTGAGAATTGGTATATGGATACTGGTGATTCATCAAATGGGTTCTTAATGTGAGCTCTTATTCTATTTCAATTTGAGAAATTTTAATAAAAACATAATCATCATAAACTTCCAATTTAAGGTTCCATACATTCTTCTTCCCCCATCCTCCATTTCATCTTAAAGGTATCATTTTCTCTTGCTACATTATCAAAAATAAAATCTGTCCATTGCTTTTTCTAGTATAATAAATTCTATTAAATTTGTTCATTTTGGTTTTATTGTGAAGGACTACTCATCCGGAAAAATTCTCACAAAATGAAATAGTATCAACGAACACTACCTTCTTTCCTCGTCTACACTTCAAAAATCTTCCCAGTCCTAAAGTTTTTGTTATTGTTTTTCAAGATGTATGACACCATTGCCTCTGTAAGACATCCGAGATATAACGTTCTAGATCCTATTTGGAATTGTAATTTTAGTGATTGTAATTGCATTAAACCATATACTATTTTTCAATCGCGTGTTTTCGGTAAACATTTTAAATTACATTTTTATGGTTCATCTCATTTACAACTTATAGACATCTATAATTTTGAGTTTAGGCGAACATTGTTACTATCTTTTATTACTTGATGATTACTCTAATTTTCTATAGATATTTCCACTCAGTCACAAGTCACTTGCTTCGCCTTCTATAAATTTATTCAAAACCACACTCTTCTTTCTCACTCTCAAGTCCCCACTAACTTTTGGCACCATGGGTTTTTTTGACTTTATTCAAGAGAGAGAGAGATGGTT